AACTGGATAACATCTTTTCACATTTTTAATTACGGAAGTCAGGAACAATCAAGCATTGTGTTCATTATAAAATTTAGGCAGCCACTATAAGTTAGACTTGAATTTTATACAAACGGAACATTTTTTGAACTTTCAGAATACATTTATCGTGCAGAATACACTTAAAACCAAATGTTTTATTCTGGCTTAATAATGCATCTGTTGACGACGAATCTATATCTAACTACTATCAAATTCAGTTTAAGTACTTATATCATTAGTCTGCTTATATCGCAAGTTCACAAGGAATTTTGCCCTATTTTGGTAGTGCGTCTGAAACTATGTCCAAAGAATTAAAAATGCTGTGTTTGAAATATTTCCCATATATAAATTTGCATGTTTTACTGGTAAATAATTTCAAAATTGGTTCTTTCTTCAGGTATAAGGACGTTATTCCTGCTCGGATGCGATCAAACCTGGTCTATGAGTTCTGTTGTGCACGCTGTGCATCTACGTACGTTGGAATTTATTACATCGAATACTGATTTTGTATGCAGCCAATTTTTTGCATGGAACGTAGTTTTCAACAATGATTGTACTACCATGTTTTCCTTCGCGCTTATTAAAGTGCCATGGCTAACGATTTTTCGTTCTATTTGTTGGTGTTTTTTTACAAAAATTTGAATAGTTGAGTTAACCCCAAAAAAACGGCGATTTCGAGCGCTCCGTCAGCCAAAGTACAGAGACTCGTAAGTCGTAACAGTTTTAATGAAAGTAGAAGTTCGAAGTCTTCTTAAAAACTGTCACTACCGAAGTGTCGATTCTGTCGTGTAATTTCACTTGGTGCAAAATTCCTGTGTATTATTAATTATTGCGGACAGAAGGACCGAAGAATTGCATTTTATTAACGATAATTATTGATACAACGATTTAATTCGATGAACGATTGTGTTACATCCTAATTAATAATTTGCGTTTTAACGGCAAGATGTTTCACACTACTTAAGGTTTCAGAGTTAATTCTGAATAATTGCGAAAATTATTGATACTATTTGGCTCTTTCTTAAAATTTCTTAGATCATCTTTATATTGAATGAGAGACATTAATCAATCCCCAACGATCAGATTAACCTAAAGATAAACTAGATATTAAATGTTATATACGTGTCTGGCGCACAAAAATAACCTGTACGGCCGTTTAGTTTAATAATAAAATTCTTCTGAAATTGATCAGCAATGATATCTGAACCTGTTAATTCTCAAAACAAATATATGTTAATTTAAATGACGTTTATTGCTTCGGATAGATCATGCAGAAGGAAACATTCTAAGCTGATGCAAGCGATGGAAGAAATTCTCAAGTCCCCCATACGAAATCATTTTCGGTGACGGGTAGCAGAAATAGAGAACAAGTTCATCGGATAAAATCAAACGTTTCATACGGTCATATATTGTTATTGAATATTGAATTATAAACTATCTTATTTAGTGCTATTGTTGCAAGAAATTTTTTGATAATGAATCATGTAGAATATTTTACAATTCATGTAAAATCGATTTATTTGCAATATAAATTTAGTTGATGATTGATTCCAATTGACATTCAGATTGAATTTACTGTGTGCACAATTGAAGACACAGAGAAGAAATTTGCGATTTTGCTTTAGTTCTACGAGCTGAAATTGTTGTTTGAAATTCCGTGGAGTTAAAATCATCAAAATTTATCTTGCTACATAAATTTCTTTTTTACATTTCATTTAATTTTACGTAACATTTTCAGCAATGAGGACTAAAAAAATGTTTGACCGAGTGGGAAATTTAGTCCCCTATAACGAGTCAGTGTGAACACTAACTACAGGTTATCATCTGTTACTTGATTATATTAAAGCTTGTGCACTTTTTGATTAAATCTCTCTAATTATTTATTACGTTTTCAATTTCATTTAAATTCATTACGTTTTCAATCCAATTTACGTTTCAGCCAAAGGAAATGCTATGGAAACTTTCATTAAATTTCATTTCTAACGGAATAAACAAGGAGTTTAGTGGAATGATGTCCAATTCTTTTTTAGCAGCGTTGCCAGATGGTATATTTCTATACCAGATTTCACAAATCTGGTATTTTCAGAGGTGTCTGGTATGAACATTTTAGATCTGGTATATTTGCCTAAATCTGGTGTTTTTCTGGTATTTTCTGACTTACTGCAAATTTACTGCATCAAGTTCCACCTCTGAAGTTTGAATTTCCTCCAGCGTACGCGTGGATTATATAGATTACCATCAGAGCGGCGCGACTTGAGGTTTCCCGCCATTTTTGGAACCGCAAGTTTACCGCTTGATAAAATAACCCCAATTTAATTTTTAACAATTAACAAAAGTGCTTAGTGCAATATGAGCATGAGAGTGATGATAATCGATTGATTACTGATCAGTGATGAACTGATGATATGGCCTAGGACGAGTGGGGTTGTCGAACTCGAACCGATCTCTGCGACGCAAGCTCCACCATTTTTGTTTGGTGGTTTTGAATTCTAGAGTGCCACTTGAATTCTGGGGTGCCATTCAATATTTCACTGATCTTGACAATTATCATCCATTCATGGAACTGGCTGCTTACTGCAACGCCTCATTAGGCGACGATACTGCGCCTCATTAGGCGACGATACTGCGCCTCATTAGGCGACGATATTTCGCCTCATTAGGCGTCTTAGCGTCCATGCCGCACCGTCACCCACTTAACGTTATTACTCATTAACGTTACCATCTCAGTCTCCCTGCTAATTTTACTGATGCATTATTATGAGCCATTTGACCCGTTAAACCTCTGATGAAGTCAATTAATGTTGTGATGATTTAAGTCTTCGTTTAGTACTGAAGTCGTCTCAATTAATGGAGGATTAAATTTTCTTTGTTTTTATCATTATTGAAAATAATTATCATGAGCTTGTCTGGTTTATATCAGAACAAGAAAACAGTCTTCAACATTTTGTTCCCTAATTCTCATATAAAGTTGCCACAATTCCTATTCTTCATTCATCATTCTTCAGTAATTTCAACCACAATCAGAGGACATAAAAAAAGCAGCATGCAGAGTTTGACTGTGGCAAAAGCGCACTCAGAAAAGCTAATTGGTCCTAATAGTGACCCATTTCAAATTAATTGGTCCTAATAGTGACCCATTTTAAATTAATTGGTCCTAATAGTGACCCATTTCAAATTAATTGGTCCTAATAGTGACCCATTTTAAATTAATTGGTCCTAATAGTGACCCATTTCAAATTAATTGGTCCTAATAGTGACCCATTTTAAATTAATTGGTCCTAATAGTGACCCATTTCAAATTAATTGGTCCTAATAGTGACCCATTTTAAATTAATTGGTCCTAATAGTGACCCATTTCAAATTAATTGGTCCTAATAGTGACCCATTTTAAATTAATTGGTCCTAATAGTGACCCATTTTAAATTAATTGGTCCTAATAGTGACCATTTTAAATTAATTGGTCCTAATAGTGACCCATTTCAAATTAATTGGTCTTAATAGTGACCCATTTTCTTACCGGCAACAAGAGCAGAGAACGGATGTAGCACAGATAGGCCCTCTGGTCGTACCACCAAACTGTTTCAGGATAACCCACAGTATGGGAAAAAGTGTATCGCTACATGGACCAAGTCTCAAGTACTCGACTGCGTGTTGCGTAATTGTCTCACGTATTTGACTGCGTGTTGCGTATTTGTCTCACGTACTCGACTGCGTGTTGCGTATTTGTCTCACGTACTCGACTGCGTGTTGCGTATTTGTCTCACGTACTCGACTGCGTGTTGCGTATTTGTCTCACGTATTTGCCTGCGTGCTGCGAGCTGAGCGCAGTCAGCGTAAGCTTCACCTAGTCTATTTATAAACATAAAGCAGATCGATCTCTCCAGACACACCCGGCAAGCGCAACCAAGTGTCAGAAAATGTACTCTTGCAAAGCTGATACTGGCGTAAAATAATGTACGTTTGTTTGTTGGTTTGTCTCAGATGTTCAAACGATTTGGTTTCTATACGTACTGAAGTTTTTTAGGAAAACATGTAGCAATTCGTTACGAGAAAATAGTTATGACGATGATACATTTACTCGATGTTTCATTCACTCCAGATTTAGATTTCTGTTCTGTGGTATTTGTTAAGAGACAGAAAAGTCGGGAAATTTTTTCAGTTACCTTCTTAACGTGAATAAATGACTATGTCTATCACGCACGCTCGTAAGCTAACCATCGATTATAGCATTGTGATGAGTGTGTTTCGTATTGGACACAGAGTTTAAATGAGTATTATACCTTAAATACATATTTCACACTTATTTTAATTTCGTAAGCGTTGTGTTGCCGTGGGACTACTTCGGTCACTCGTGAAATGTTCTGTCATACAGGTTCAGTTCGTATAAATTATAAAGCACTTGGTTTTCACACATGTATTTGAAGAATGTGCACTATATAGTCCTTACCAGCGCGTAGCTAAAACATGAATGAACAAAAGATTGAAATGATGGAAACCTTAAGTCCGGTAAAGTCTGAACGAAAACGGAAAATTCGAAACGCAAATTGAACAATTATCGTAACTATAAATGATAATTCCTGATTTTTCTTTCATGCAATTGAAGACCAGAGCGTATTTCTTATTAATGATTTTCTTGTTAATTTTCTTGATGCTGCGAACTAGGCTGTTTGCGGTATTTGAAAAATCGAATATAGGGTTTCCAAATAAAATTTCATTTGACTTTACGACGTTTCGAATATTACATATTCATTATCAAGTAAATGAAGTGTTTTACAACGCTTGAAATTGAAATTTTGGAATGACAATAGTACGTACGAAGGGTATAGTGGATACAATACAATATTTAAACTTAAAATGACTCCGAAAACAACTTCAATGTCCTGACGAATCCGGTAGTTTGTAGATTGATAGCTGGGGACTCTTCCCTGATGATGAGAGCCTCAGCTATCGCCAGTCTTGCAGCGTCGGGGCACCGCATAATGATGCTCGTGCCGGCTTCCAGTGCCGCGCGGGGGATGGTCTCCCCGTGGACATCCCTCATGTGGTTCTTTGGGCCTCCGGTCTGGAGATGGCACGTGAGGCGGCGACTTAAGGTAGTTGTGGTCAAACCAAGGTAGTTTACGTTTTGGAGAAGTCTACAACCTTCTCTTTTGCAGGAAAATTTGTAAAAACATTGGTTTCTTGGAGAGGTCCTGATTTTTTACATGGATTATTTTTCATACTGAAAAAAAAATCCATGGCTACATCAACTACATACTGAGAAACTGAAGGCTACATCAACCTTTCCTCTCATACTTAATTTGACCAAGGAGCAAAAGGAGCTCCTAAATCTCGGACTGAATTGCCATGTAATGTCCCAATTCAGCCGTACTAAGAAACAAATTGAACTCGAACTGTTGTGTGATTCATTGCTGAAACTAAAGAACGACCGCAAAATAAACGTCAACCCAAACTTGAAAGATCAATTACGAGCTGAAGCCACCAAACAGCGAGGCTCATCGACCTCGAAAGTACTAAATCCAGCTCTACGACTGGCAGCAAAGCAACTCAGAGATAACTAACAAATCGTGATAAGAAAAGCCGATAGAAGCAACATTTTTCGTGATTTTGGATAAAACTGAGTATATTTCAAAAATAAGCCAAATTGTATTGATGAGTCAAAATTCCAGCGTGTCTTACGAGATCCTACGGAACTACTTCAGAGAAGAGCAATTAAATTAATCAATACAGCCAACTCAGTTGCAGGCTCTAAAAAACTTACCCCAATCGTTGGGAGTTATTCTCCTGGTTACGGCTATATGGAAATGTCAAAAATCACAAAGAGAATAACCCGCTCAGACCTATCATCACACAAGTTACGTCCCCAATCTATAGGACAGCCCAGGAATTGGATGCTCTTATGAAACCTTACATTCCGAAGAAATTCTCACTTAGATCTAGAGGTGACTTCCTGGAGATTCTTCGTGATCAGCGCTCTTCCGGTCATTTGGCTTCACTTGACGTCACAAGCCTGTTCACCAACGTCCCCACTGAAGAAACTCTGGAAATAATTGCTGAACATGTCTATTCCAATGAAATTATACCGGCTCCATCAATCACGAAAAAGATTTTACTTGATCTCCTCCGACTCTGTACTTCAGAATCTCCTTTTCGGACACCCGATAACAAAATTGATCAACAAATTAACGGTGTAGCTATGGGCAGTCCTTTAGGCCCTTCTTTCGCCGAATTCTACATGTGTGAACTTGAGAATCGAATGTTATTGGATAATCAGATCAAGCCTGCGCTTTACTGTAGATACGTCGACGATATCTTTGTCGTTGTCCGGGATATAAACCACATGACAGAACTGCGTGCGGCTTTAGAACTCAATTCAGTCTTAACGTTCACATATTAATTTGGATAAAATCGTAAGTTGCCCTTACTCGATTTACTAGTTCAAGTCGAGGATAATAATTCTTATCTCACTAAGTTTAACGGAAACCCACAGACGTCGGAAAAGAAGAAAGCTTCACGATCGAAGAAAGTGAATGCCCACATAGGTATAAAACCAACACCATACGCGTCATCATACAAAGAGCGTTCAAAACCTGTGCTTCAGCTGGTGACTTGAAAGCAGAACTTCGGACCTGCAAGCAAATATTGGTGAACAATGGCTAATCAAACAGAGCAGTCGACATTGAAATTTCAAATTGCCGAGCACGCCAAAGCCGAAATGACAACGAACCTGTTGTAAATGAAAACATCACGACTATTCACTACCAGAACCAGATGAACTGCGGTTATAAGACAGATGAACGAGTCCTCAATGCAATCGTGCAAAATAACATCAGATGCACAACACCGACTGACCGGATTAATCCCTTGATTTACTATAAAAATCAGAAAATCAAGAACCTCATTATGAAAAAAAAAATCCATGTAAAAAATCAGGACCTCTCCAAGAAACCAATGTTGTTTACAAATTTTCCTGCAAAAGAGAAGGTTGTAGACTTCTCCAAAATGTAAACTACATTGGTTTGACCACAACTACCTTAAGTCGCCGCCTCACGTGCCATCTCCAGACCGGAGGCCCAAAGAACCACATGAGGGATGTCCACGGGGAGACCAGTCATTCCAAAATTTCAATTTCAAGCGTTGTAAAACACTTCATTTACTTGATAATGAATATGTAATATTCGAAACGTCGTAAAGTCAAATGAAATGTTATTTGGAAACCCTATATTCGAACTTTCAAATCCCGCAAACAGCCTAGTTCGCAGCATCAAGAAAATTAACAAGAAAATCATTAATAAGAAATACGCTCTGGTCTTCAATATAAAATAAAATTCCTGATTTGTATACTTTGGTAGTATTCCCGAACAGTGTTATAATCAGAGGGGCTTTCAGACGATGGTTCAATAACACCCGTCAAGTTAAATAATAATTTTAACTTTGTAATATAATTGGAGTGTTAACGGGTGAAATTTGATGAATTTTTATATAGCACTGATAGTTTAAAGATGTTTTATTTGAGCCGTGTTTTTAAAGCAGCCGATTCTATTATTCTTCATACTTTGCACCCATCAAATCACAGTAAGCCGCGCACGCAACAAACTTTACAATCTCAAGCTCACTATCAGTGGCCAAATTAACTATTATTTCGTCGGTGAATTTAGTTGTTTGCATCCCTTCCGTCTGAATGGAGCGGGAAATTTTAAGAACTGTAAATTAACCTCTATTCGGTAACGACTGGAAATGAGAGGAGCCCAATTGTGACGCAAAATAAGTGAATCTGAATCATGCACAAAACTGGAGACATCCACTAAAAGCTGCCTCATTATATACAAGCATTGCTGAACGCTGCACAGCTCTTGAAACATTGTTGTAAGCTACGACATACTAAAGGCATCTCTGTACGCTACGCATTATACGCATGGAATAAAGCCATGATACACCAAAGGCATTAATGGACGTTGCACAAAAGCATTGATGTCGCAGGACTTTGTCCGTTAGCAATGACATCTTCAAATATTCAAATCTGTACTTCTAAAATCTCAAGTCACTCTGGTATATTCCCTTCTTAGAAGCTCTCGGTTGAAAATCTATTCCGAAATACTTTTACGGAAGTTCTCTGAAACAAGAAGCATTGCTAGTGAGAATTTCTTTCCTACTGACGCATCTCAACATAAAGGTGCTTCATATAATGAAACGGGCTATTGCTGTAAAATAGTGAAGGAGTATCTCTCTCTCGTTCCACCTGGTAGAAATCGTGTGTACCATTTTTTTTGCAATTACTGCAGTCAACGCGCGCGGACGTCGCGTCATGTATTAATGATATGTTGTGTGAGTAAATAAATATTGTTTAGTACCGAAATTTTACAGCTCGATAATTTTAGTCCAATTTGTCATTGAATCTCAAGCCGCAGTTGCCCATAAAGCTTTGTTAGAGTACAACAAAGCCATGCGTCGTTTGACATTAAACCGATAGGGCGCTGGTGCTTGAGGATTCTCGTTACAAACAATGCAATTAAAACAGTGCTTCATGCAAACGTAAAAATCTCGTTGTTAAATATGAACTATTCAAAGGGTTTGGCTCATTGATCTGAATTTCAATCGGCGAATTCCGTTTTAGTGAATAAAATTAATATGTTACGTGGCATCTAACCGGCGCTCAATATCACCATTCACGTGAAACACAATTTCAGTACGCGTATGAAGAACTTGGGGAGCGGAATCGCTCTCTAATTAATAAAAGTGTTTTTATTGAAAGATAAATAGAGCAGAGAGAATCAAGCAAAGTTCTTTGATGACCTTGCAGGAGGCGCGGTGAGTGCTGTGGGAGAAGAAACTCTGGTAACGCTGCTGGAGGCGCTGCGGGTGAACATGAGGACACCTCCCGTAGGGTGTGTCACTCTCGACCCACTTGTGCTGGAAGACCAGGTCATCCAGCACAGCCATTCAGCGCTAACTACCACCATCAACCTGGATACAATGACCATAACTGTGAGTGCCTCTACGTGACTTAACGAAATATCTGTTGATCGCTATTTGTACGTATTGCAAATTAACCATTCTGATAGACGAGACGTAATTGGAATAATAGAAATAAGGATTCTTTTTCGAGAACTACTTCTAAATGAAGTCAAATTATCGATAACTACCACTAATATGCTAACATTATCGAATAATTTTGATAGGTAAATCAACAGAAAATTGAATTTTGCGTCCAGGATTGACTTTACAAGTGAAGAAATAAGACTGTCTTTACACGTGACGTGAAGATCTTGCTAACCCTAATTATATTAGTGAAAATTGTGGCCACACTGCGAGCTTAAAAGTTAGTCTCCATATAAGCGGATGTAATTGAACAAGGTTTGGGAATAAATGTATTGGTTTATTTATTTATTTATTCTACGAAAAGATTACCGTGACATCTGGTTCAAAACTTCCAGGGTTCGTTACAAACTTAGGAAAGTATGAATAAGATTACAGGTGAGCAAGAAAAAAAAACATTGCTCGAAATTTACTCGGATGTCAAGTGCAAATTTGAATTTAGCTAGCCGTGGAAAAATTACACAGCTTTGGGAAAATTACCACATGTTTTATTAGACTCCTAATTCCCTGTTACTTGCTGAGTAGCCAACAAGAATACCAAGGCTCAGAGTTGAAGATCAGTAAATACAAAATCAGGTTTCACGGGGGTTCGATATTATACTGGTTCAATTATAAAGAGTCTTATATCTTTTCCAGAACATTAAAACTTTTTTAGGAACTTTTTATAACACGATCGTCGAAGTTAACATGCACGTAGAAGATCTAGCAGGATGTTTGCAGCTGATTTACATGAGCTAAATACCTTGTATGTATATTTCTTCAAAACTGACTTTGCAATGAAGGTTTGACATTTATAGAAATGCAAGGCCATTATTAGTGTCTAATTTTTCAGGGACTTTCTGAGTACACGATTGATGAAGTAAAGATGAACGTAGGGGAGTTGACAGCATTTTTGCAGCTGAGCTACAAGGAGCTGAAGCTTGGCGGGCAACATGCGCTCAAAGCCAGGATTGCGCGAGTTATCCCCATCACGAGAAGAGGCGGCTTCACGGTCACCACGGAGCATCCTCAGGTTGTCAACAGCATGGTTGAACTAGTATAAGGTTGACCCATGAGAAGCTCATTTATGCGGATGGAGCTTGTTGTTTGCATGTGACGTCACTGATCTCAGTGACGTCACGGGCGTTAACCATTCACTGAAATGCGATCAAACCAGTCAACCAATCTGTCATGGTAATGACGGGATTGTTTACGTTTCTCGATCTCAGTGACGTAACAAGAAAGCTGAACTGAAAGACGGAACTTCTCGTGGGTCAATCTTATATAGTTCAACCATGGTCAACAGTCGTGACTCAAATTAAAAGTTTTATTATGTTCGTTATAAAAATGTGAATTTTATGTTCGATTTAAACGCCAGTTTATGATGCTTGCTAAGAAAACCTTAATGTTACACAAAAGTAGAACAAAAGTAGTTACTGATGATAGCTAATAATGAATACGTACAGATTGAAAGTTTTCAAGGTTAATTGTTAGTAAATTAGTTTCCCAAATACATCAGTCTAGTCCAGGTGTTCTTCAATCTGAACCAAACGAGACCTTACATCAGAAAAATTCTTATAGCAATTCGTCGTGTGCAATGAGATCAATGGAAGTTACTGGAGCTAATGATTATAGATTAATTAAACTATGGATAAACGAGGCCAAGGACAAATTGTAACCCAAAGAGTTATTCTACAGGTGCGGATCAAAGTTCGGCTGCGAGTTGTGAAAGGACGGCTGGAGGTGCGTAATGTGTCGACGAGTTTGGAAATTTCTGGCCTCAAGACCAAGCTGACAAACTTGCCAGCAAGCGGCATTCTGGCCCGGATCCTTAACGAAGTTTTGGGTGATCTCCTGAGAGAAGAGCTGCCTAGACTCGAGGTCGAGATAGATGGCGCTCTAAGATCTCTCTTGAATACAGAGTTCAGCAACTACAACGTTGGCATGTCGTTGCAAATACTAAGAACGAGCGATAAACTGATGAGACGAGGATCAATAGCGAAGTTTGTAAATTAATAACAAGAAAGTTTGATTGCATAGGCATGAAAAGAGGTGGATAATGAACAAAAACTGCCTGAACACGCCCATCAATAAATTGTTGCTTCAGGCACAGATCAGGAAGAACATCAGTTAAGCTTGAGCAACAATTTTACACCGACAAAGTTTTAACTTGTATGCCAGATAATCAATAGCATTGTTAGATAAAATGCACCGAACGGTTTTAGCAGATGAATGAGCAAGAGACCAAGTTTGTTGGAAGTAAAGCATTGTATGATGAGTGAGCAGTATTAGCTTCAAATAGGAGATATTTTTTTAAATGTAGTTTTCCTTACTTAGAGTTTCCCCTGCCTTCATATGAAAATAGGAAGTTTCATACTCAGGTGTGATTAGTAATTATGCCAAATATCAGTTTGTTGACGTCGGAAAACTGTACAAAGGCAAGTGAGAGAAAACTAACTAAAGCTCTCAAACGTGTGATGTAAAGAAAGCTGACCCCGAAGTGACAATGAGTTCACTTGATGAGTTGATGTCTATAATCAAACACGGAGTCATAGCCTAATTGGTGTCCCATGCATAACAATAGATGTACGTGAATATCTGTTTATTAGGATGTTATCAATTGTTTGTTATAACTAACTGAATGTCTTCGCAGTTCTCTTGATATATCTGTGTTACTAGAAAGCTTATTAGATGTCCAATTGGCAAAATCATGACTGAATTTAAACTGATAAATACAGCTATTACGTAGCATCACTCATGATCTGTGGGGTGTCGCTCATTTTACCACTTTAAATTAAACATCATAAATTAAGTTAGAAAAAATTCGGTAGAGATGTGCGCCGAATCATTTCGAATGTTACACCTCGTCGAAGGCTCAACTGCGACATTCGTGAGCAGCTCTAGAAGCTGGGAATTTCTCACAAAGCCAAGTCCGTTCCATCAAGTTAAAACGTTTTCATCAGCTCCATACAGCTTTGGTGTCTACGTTAGCATTCAATAAAATTAGGAGAATTTATTCTTAAATTTACTAGATCAAAATTGGGCTTGTACTTTTCGAGGCTCTTAGCATGATTTTGGAAATGAAAAAAAAATTAGACTAATTTGCATGACTTCAAGTTGCGGTTGATCAGAATGGAACAGGGAACTGGCTTTAGTGCCACTTGAATGTTTGTTGTCCGTAGTCATCAATATTACTCATATCTTGACAATGAATATCAGTATCGTAATACTCTTACCGTAATTGTGTGATAGAGAAAGCATTAGGTCATTTTTACTTTTTACTAACAACAATATTGCTCTGTAAGACTGTAACTCATTTTCAAAAAGGTCTAATGTATATTTTATACACATGTAGTTGACGACTGTAAGACATCAATTTGCTGATGGACTGCAACGTCCATTAACTCTTCCGTTGATATCAAGGGACAATCATTGTAGTGAGTTAGTCAGAAAATTCATACAAGTTGTTTTTATGTAAAACATGGGATTTCTGATCATCCTATAGCACTTGTGTAGTTATCTCAGTAAGTTTAGATAACAAGATAGCAATGAAATGTTGGCTCTAACCAAAATGGGATTAGATTTCGTTATGCAGGCACTGCAGTACGGTTTTCAACCGTAACCCACCTTCGATATGCTTATGTCGTTTGAATTAATACGGTCACTCCCATTAATGAGCGCTGAACCAGTATAAATATTTTTGTGTTATGATGTCATTGAAGATTATGGTGCTATCATCAGTTATTGATTAAATTTTAATAAATTAATAATTTAAATGCGAAGGTATCACTAAAAATTTCACAGAAGTATAGAAACGAATAACCCAAATTGGCTTAAGTTATACAATGGAAACTCAATAGTTTTCTCGATTACCTTTGACAGGATCACAATTCTCGTGTTTTTAACGACAAAGTTGCTGGAAACCTGTTAGTTGGAAAACAGCTAGAGAAAAATGATCGCTATTACGAAAAATTTAACCATTGATTGGTGCTCTTAGTTTGTAATGTCGCTGTTTCAAACATCTGTCTGGTGACCTGGAAAAATTGAAGCTGAAGAATAAACTTAAAAATTTCCCGTTATTCTTGAGGTCTTCCTTCAAAAGAACATCTCGAATAATATTTCATTTTATATACTTCACAATTAAATGTCCTTCGACTGTAATTTTCTGTGTCTCAATATTAAACATGTAAGCAAACTATTGAATAAATTTTATCTTCAATAACTACACTTAAACTTCCCATTATTTGCGACTTTCTACGGTGTTTCTAATACAATCTGTCTCCATTTTACGTTTCATTGTTACCAGTGATTGAGTGTCTTACAAATAGTAATTTATTGACAAAAGAAATTTGTGTTTAAATGGCTTACATGTTAGCTAATCCTACGAAAAATAATTAAGGGAGCATTATTACGTGAAGAAATACAGTATTTAAACTGATGTCTCCCGTTAAAAATTCTTACTTGGGAAAATTTACTTATAATTGTGTTCAACTCAGCTTCTAATTAATACAACTTAAAAATCTCAGGACGATTACGTGTACCTAGCTCATTAGTTATATGTGGGAAATGAAGACTGCTCAACTCGATCGGTATGAGTTTATTGCACGATAACGATATCACGTCTCAAAGCTGTGGCAAAATAGAGTTGTATTTAACTCTTAATGACACGGTATTTGCCTTAATAATTATAGAACAGCATTATTCCGAATTATTGCTAAGTAATTATTGCTAATAATTGATCAGTTGAAACTGAGGAAGCATAAACGGCGGAGTAAAGCTTTCAAGAATTCTCACTCAAACCCTAAATACATTCACTGAAAAATTCAATACTCAACAAAATGATAATACACAATTCAAAAATAAAAATTGGCTTAAATCCAGTTACGGTAGTTACATAATTTTGGTTAATAGAAGAGAAGATTCATCTATGTAAGAGTGGACAGTTTCAATTATTCGTGCTATCTAAATACCTGCTAGTGAAGTAGCTGGCAAGAGAAGCATAGCAACGATAATATATTAAACAAACGTAAGTCTAGAGGGAAAACCAATGGAGGAAAGATACTGCACGATGTCGCTTGTGATAGATCGGCAGAGTTGAATAGATTTGATCGATCCTTGAAGATGCGATATTGAAAATTAATTTGAAAAAAATGATGGTCAGTGTCATAGAAACATAGAGGATGGTTTATTTGACATATCCATGCTCAACCAACTAGTGGATTACATATCTCCTGCAAATCCTGTTTCTTTTTGGGGTAACGCTATCATGTTTCTGATAATAATCATCTGTCTACCAAGTCACCACGGCTATAACGCCCTAAATTTGAGCATTAATTGTTACTTAAAATAAGTGTAGCGCAGACACATTAATTTATGATCGGAAAAAGAAATATATTATTAATAAAAATCTGTAACTTGATGATATTGAATAATACTGAAGTTAGATAATTTTTCATCATTGCGGATATCATTTTACACAATATAGAGTAAGATTGTTTACATTGGCCTTTATAGTGTCCGCTGTCCATACATGATCAAGTTCATCAGCGGAGATTTTTACCTGTTAATACAAATTTCTTAAATGCTTATAAGTAAATACATGTTCGAATTGGACATACTTTGACCAATTCAAACCAGCGTCAGATATTCAATTTTCTGTTTATTGCCATGTCTGCGCGCCAATTAAAAGAGCTATAACGCCATAGTATTCAAGTCGTGAACTGTGGACAAACCGCGTCCGGTGTTTCTGTCTAGTTTCATTTAATTGAGTAAAATTCAATTACGTTAATGGAAATTGATTCGTGTAGGCAGAATGATTTACATTTTTTAAGAAGCAAGCATTTAAGCCTTTTACTCCTGACTCAATCCTCTGACTAACGAAAAAATTCATATGAGCTAAATAAATTGAGCACATTCGAAGAAACAGCAAGTTTATATTGTAGAAGAATTCGTATGAAAAGAAAAATTTTCTTATATTATTGAAAGAAAACTAGAAAAAAAACTCAGCAGCAAACAAATATCGTTAAACATTAGAAGACCAGAAGAGAAAGTCCTATCAAGGGTAAAATTAACAGCAATTTACGAACGTCAAAATCAATTAAAACGGCCGCAATAGCAATTGCGTCTTGTTATCAGTTATCGTTATTGTTATCGTCTCCTTAAGGGGATTTCATCACATGACTTATCGCACAAACTACGCAAATTTAGTTGACAGCATTTCAACTGAACTTATACGGCCAATAATATCGGGATTAGACTAAACATTATAACACAGTCAAATTATCTGGACATTTTTTGTATTATATAAAATATTGTATCACTTGGGAAGAAATCAGAACGTTTCGATGATCATTAAGATAATTTCATATCGAAAAACGACAAAAAGTATGCATCAGCAGGCATTGCATGGGTCAAACTAATTCCGAAAGAACAGCATCGCATTACGGCTAAAAGCAAACTACAGTAATTTTACTACTTAAGCAACCTTGAACTTACTGGAATTTTCCATTCTCATGAACATCAAGAGTTCAGCAGTGAAGCTCACATGTTTGCCATACGAAAGTCTCTATAATTAATGAAGCATCTTCACAACTACAAGAAACCTATCCTTGTTGCTGATCTTCGTATGCTTCTTTTAATTATGCTGTGAAGTCAATAATGAATTACTTATTTAGTAGATATTTCTGCCATGTTGACCCTTCTCTGTAATTCATAATTGATCAGCGGCAAGACATGAGAAATTCAGTATGTCTGTATTCAGTAATGCTTCAGTAAATTCAGTAATACTTTTCATGCACATCTATCACAACATGGATGGCATCATCGCATCACGAACGTCGATGATCCTGAGGAATCGCGGTCAGCTGCCATTGGTTACTGAAGAAATACATTCATTGAATGGTATTTCTTCTTCTTCCTTGTCAGTACAAATATACAGAGCATTCTACGGTGCCTATAGACTAGTGCAAACAAGCAAAAAACCCTAGTCATAACTCATCTTAAAATAACTTACTGGACTTACATAACCGGACACTTTTTCTGATAATTTCAACTAGTGAATGGAATAATCTGTAAAATTATTTCCAAAATGCAAATGGCATATCATGCAGAGTTTAGGAGAGAAATTCTCATATTCGTAGAATCATCGTTAACTTCAACTAAAGAAAAAATGATCCGAAGCTGCACATTGAAATTTAAATCTGTGTTTGAAAGTTTTTAACTCTCAACAATTGAAAAATTCCAATAGTTAACACAAATTATTTACGAAGTTACATGTTCGAAGCAATCAAAATGCAGAGGCTGCTAAACAAATTGCAGCGCATCAAATGAACGAATTGCATTGCTCTATACGGAGCCGAGAGATTATTTTGACGAGTCATTTAGGAATAAATAACGTTTTGCCGGAAAATAAAATTGGCAATAGCGAATAATTAATAATAATAATTATGATTTGTTTTAATTCTTCCAGTATTGAAATATCAATCGGTCTTTAATTTCTTTTAGATCTTGAAGGCTTTTGTTCAAGAGGTTTTGATGGAATGTCAGAAAGCCATTACGTTTCACGTGCGAATAAAACAGATGGGAGCCAGGATTTTCCTTTCATAAATATGACGCCAGGATCTTTTGAGTGCAAAGCGCGCTTGACCGAAAAACTTTTCCGTAAGACAAAATTTTCGTTACCGGTGGATAAGCCGTTTTTCAACGAAAAATCGCATTTTCAATATGAATTTTTTTGGGAAAAATTAAATGCTTTTGATTACGATTATGTCAGCGATCATGTCGAAATGATGAAGTCATCGATGAGGTTCAACGAGTGTTGATTACAGACGTTCACGGATGATGTTTGAGACGGCGTTGCGACGTGTTGTGGGATTGGGGAGGAAGGAAAAACGTCTCATGTCAGTATATCTGCACTCGTCATGAAGTATTTCATCGAAAATATTTGTTGATTCTAGCCGTGTCTAAGACAATTGAAAATTTGCGATGCACGACTTGCTATAATAACATTGCTGGGTTGATTGTTTCGATGTAATACTGACATTTTAAATAACGATAACGCTCCATTAATATTGTAATTGTTTGAGCATTAACCACACTTGATAAAGCGAAGGATTTACTCTCAATGCTTCAAGACGGAGCTGCATTTTTCAGCGTTTTCGGGCCTCCAAGTTTTCAGCCACTTCCGGGCGTGTGGCTTCGACTTGATCATTCTTCATTCTCCACCGCAATGAATGATGAGTAACCATTCAGTGCAATGGATGATGAGAATCTGTGATCATTCAGCTGTAAAATACATAATGGATTTTTCAATCGCTCAAAAACGGAGATCAGGCGAGAATTGACTACCATAAATTATTGGAAGTATGACTAATTTTCTGAAACTCGAAATTCCTTCACACGGAGAAAAATTCGTTTATGCTGGTATCACCAATGCGGAGTCATAGCGAGGTCACTAAGACTTTTTTACATCTTTCAATGATAAACTTTGGCATCATCCAAAGAAATATATTTGTTTTGAGGTCACTTACGGGTTCCACAGCCTTGCTCTGTAACACTCACTGTTTGCTTGTCCAAATCTTGATCCCGCAAAGACTGCGAGCAAAGGATGTGGCGATTATCGAGTAATATTTCCAAGCTCCTGATAAGTTTTACTGTCATTAATGAAGAAGAGTCAGTGGAGGAAAAAGTTGTGGTTACTGCCCACAAATGAGACGCTGGGTATGCCATTACTCTGAACCTTGCCTCCTTAATACCAAAGTTAGTAACGAAGGAGCTCCATGTCATTGTCACCAAACCAACGTAGAATTTTCTCACAATTCTTAGCATTTCTCATGACCTTCTTGAATCAATGTTCAACCGAATGAAAAAATATGAAAATATCCAGAGGAGCCTGGATATTGTGAAGTTGATGAATATAATGCATTTTTGTAATAATGCTTCCAACTCTCGACCCTCACTCGCATCAATGAACAACATTGCTATAGTTTATATTTTTTATTGTTGACTACATAAGAACTAGACTACTAGTGCTAAAGTTCGGCCACCGCAATATAAACCGTTGGGATCCCGTAGTAATACAGCTTACATTTTATAGGGGCTTAATGCAAGTTGTAAATGGCGTCTGATTTGTATGTAAATCCTGCTGAATTTTTTACTTTAAACCTCTTATTTTCTTCGACACAATCCGAAAAAAATTTTCGGTTGTTTCGAGTTAAGATGTTCAGTGCAGACGTTTATTCCTGGCGCAGAGGCGTTCAGTAGGCCGTAAAGAGGCGCGTGTGAGGCGTTCAGTAGGCCGTGAAGAGACGTGTAAGGCGTTCAGTAGGCCGTAAAGAGGCGCGTGTGAGGCGTTCAGTAGGCCGTGAAGAGGCGCGTGTGAGGCGTTCAGTAGGCCGTGAAGAGGCGCGTGTGAGGCGTTCAGTAGGCCGCGAAGAGGCGTTTGTGAGGCGTTCAGTAGGCCGTGAAGAGGCGCGTGTGAGGCGACATGTACATGATGCCGAAGGTGCTACTGACGGTCGCCACCAGGAACACCCACAGCAGCAGCCTGCCGGAACACATCACTTAGAAACAATATTTATAAATATAGAACTAATTTGTAAAATTAAATTAAATATATTATTAATTTAGCACTTCACATGTCTTGATAACTGCTGAAGTAAACAACAGAATCTCAGACAATTAAATATTCCAAGGGAGACGAGAAATCCTTGCGAGCTCCAACACGAAGATGGACTGACAAGTCAATTAATCCTAATGCCAATGAATAAATTAATCAATTTTTCTATTGACAATCAATTCAATTAGTCAATTAATCCTAGTGTCAAACAAATAACTCGTCAACTTATTCTAGAGGTCAAGTTACTTTATTTTGTAACTAGTGAGTGACTTGCTTTCAGTATATTAACAAAATGTGGTAGTTACTGAACCTTAATTCACCAACGTTGTATGTCACCTGTCGATGATGAGCGCAACTTGCTGCTGCTCACCTGTCGATGGTGAGCGCAACTTGCTGCTGCTCACCTGTCGATGATGAGCGCAACTTGCTGCTGCTCACCTGTCAATAATGAGCGCAACTTGCTGCTCACCTGTCAATGATGAGCGCAACTTGCTGCTCACCTGTCGATGATGAGCGCAACTTGCTGCCACTCAAGTCTGATTGTGTCGCGTCTGTCCTGTTCTGCTAAACGCAGTTCGTTGCGATCGATGGTTTCCTGCACCTGAAAATACGAATATTTTAGTACAAACCATTCCTTAATCGATTATTATTATTATAAAACAACTCAAAGCATTTTATTTGTTATAAAATATGTGACACAGAGAACCTACCCAGAAGATCTGTGAATATTAATTCATAATCAAGGAATATGAATTTATGAATATGGATTTACCGTACACATTTACTGATTAATAATTAAAGTTTATATGTTATTTCCAGGCATTTCATTCCATGAGAATAAAAGTAAAACTCACTAAACTTTTATTAAGGGAGTTTTATTTCAGCAATTGAATCAGGAAATCTTTCAGTAAGAATTGAATAAGAGTTATATTTTCCTTGCAGTCATTTAGGCATTGACCGTTGTTTCATGATATTTACTGCCATATTCAGAGGTTCACGATTTTCATCACAGATCTTTGGCAAACAGAAGTTCGCTCAGCCATCATTATATGGATAATCAGATTGATTATTTTGATTAAATCCTGCATAAAAAATATAATGAGAACAAGAAAATTGCACAAACTTTTTGTAAGACGCGAGAAAAGTGTCGGTCAAATTCATCAATCGCCATTGTTTTCAACGGTAGCCTGGATTCCCTCCTGTTTTCGTTCTTCTTTAGAGTTCCCTGTTGTTTCAACTGTTGCTGCTCTTGTTGCAGGCGATGCTCCTGTTCAATGCAGTGGTCCTGTTGAATACAGAGCTCTTGCTGCATGCAATGTTCGGGTTGCAAACAGTGCTCTTGTTGCAACAGCGTTTGTGACTGGTGTTGCAGCTGCTGTTGCAAATGCTGTTGCTGCAGATGTTGCTGCTGTAAATGATGCAGCGTTTTCATTTCTTGTGAGGTCTCGCTGAGAGGCGTCTCGCAAATTCCCGTCAAGCTGAGCGAAAAAATAAGCAAATTTGTGAAAAATAATTTACAAGGGACAGGAAGAAAAAATATAACACGAATAACAAAATAAACTCTAAGATGATTTATTGACTGCAATATTTGACGAAAATACAACAAAAAATATGATATGTTAATTTCAATTACTTGGCACATGATGTCTTACATACATAAATTTCACGTAAACTCTTATTTTCCTTTGTCGTATTAGCTCGTACCAACTTTTGTTTGCATGAGGCTTGATGTTTATCAACTCGCCTCGCCTCTACAATCATTTTTCCTCGCGTGGCAGCGCTTCGAAATTTTGTATTGTATACTGTGCCTAAACTTATCAATTGCTTAGATAGAGATGTTATATAGTGTACTGAGGTTAAAACTTGAATCCGTTGAATTCAGAAATGAAATATTGTGCCTTGCACTCTGGCGCTTTAAGCCGATTAATTGCTCAAAATGAAATTGTGCATTGTGCACAGTAGTTAAACTCGTTGATTGTTTAAATTAAAATATATAAAATAATAATATAACTTTCACCTCTGCATGCAGATGCCGGGACAAGGTGAGATGGCCATAGCAGGAGACTGTGTCCTGAAGGAGCGATTCAAATTAATTGAGTGATTCATACTAAGTAGTTATAAGCCAGATAAACGAAGTCCGACTACATGGGCTTCATTATTATCAGTTTACTTTAATTTAATTAAATTGATTTGCATCTGGACGGAAGTTGAGATAGTCCGTTATTAATTTTACCTCTAATTTTACCTCTAATAATTGTTATTTTATTTTACCTCTATTAAGGGGTTTAGGTTACAAAGATATGCATTATTCTCCAATACAACGTTAATTTTGTCTATCCGATCTTAAAAATCGAATGAATATTAGGCAATGTTATAAACATTTTGTTCCGATTAGCTTATAGGTTTGATATAATTCCAAATATACTGAAATATTGAAGCGGCAAAGCAATGAGAGGAAAGGACAAGATGTCGCGCGTTACTTTAGAAGTTGAGATGCCATCGATGATCGTGACTTGATGAAAAATGAACTATTCAAAATCTCTCATTATAAATGGAGATAAAATGCTACTACTTCCTATGATTTTGCTAGGAATACGAAATAAAAATTATTCCATAGATGTCATGAATAAATGAAGATGAAGTGCCAGTTCCTATAAACCATAATCTTAATAGCCATATGCAAGTGAATGTTGTACTTGAGTACCTCACTTTTTTCAAATATATTCCTGCGAACTTGACATGTTCCTGTACGTAATTCAAATGCAATAGATTAAACTATTCTCGCACTATTGATATAATACTACTATAATGTATGCAACATAAGTGTTTAAATACAGGTGGTTAATGGACAGAGAATTCATTTGTTTAAATTTTCAAGGTCGAACGATATTCTTCAGATGACGTTGGTTGATAAAAATGCAGGTTTAAGGAAGTAATTTCAATTTATTAACGACGTTTTGAATGTGACAAAATTCGAAAAATAACACAAGATTCATGTACTTATTTCCACGAAAATTTCAGTTTCCAATGCTTCCTATAACATGAAAATTAATGTTGTTACATTCGAAACGTCGTTAATAAATTAAAATTACTTTCTTAAGCATTTATTTTGATCAACCAACGTAATCTGAAGAATATTATTCGACCCTGAAAATAAAAATTGATAAATTCTGTGGCCATAAACCACCCGTGTTTAAACAAGCTTATTCTACCTGTCTACCATGTAATGGATTACATAGCCATTAACCACCCGTATTTAAACAAACTTATTCTACCTGTCTACCATGTAATGGATAATAGATTACATAGCCATTAAGCACCCGTGTTTAAACAAGCTTATTCTACCTGTCTACCATGTAATGGATAATGGATTACATAGCCATTAAGCACCCGTATTTAAACAAACTTATTCTACCTGTCTACCATGTAATGGATAATGGATTACATAGCCATAAACCACCCGTGTTTAAACAAGCTTATTCTGTCATCTAATACAAACACAATAAATGTGCATATAAAAAGCGCGCCGCATACCTGTGCGTGATGCCGCCGTTGGTGCAGCGTAGCGGCAGCGGCAGCGCCGCGGCGCCCAGACGGTCCGTGACGTCAGGCGGTCTCGCTGCTACGCACTGAACATCACATCCAGCCATCAACAGACAAATTAATCAATCAGTAATCATTAATCAACATTTAAATGTTGTCTTTGAACACTTATATTCGTAAATTTTAGATCAGAATTAAGGAACCAGAGTTGATAGTTTATAAATGAAAAAAATCCCGATATTCTACCCCGCATTTATAAAATGTTCTCAATCGTGATGTATTTGAGACGAAGCATGCATCGTTATTAACAAGCTGAGGATACTTTGCGGTCCATTGACGAGACCGCCGTAAGAAGTGATCTTGAAAAAGACCATACGGATATCACAATATTATTGGCTTCATTATTATTTATATTAGTGGCTTCACTAATATATATATTTATATATATTAGTAAAATTCATACATTAATATTAATATCAAGAAGTGAAATGACGACAAAACACGACACTAACGCAAGGATGATGCAGCGTCGTAGTGACGGTAGAGATGGAGGTGCTGTTGTGCAGGAGCGGAGGTGGGGGAGTGGGCATACAAGGGGACGACCCTTGCGAACACATCGCCGAGCAGCCCAGACTTTCCCCGAGGGTCGGGGACGATGAGCGCCTCTGGGATCTGTTCCTGCCCAGGGGATCTGGGAGATCTAGTCTGATGAAGAGCAGTTTTGCGAGTCCTTCGAGCACGAACTTGCGTAGGAGTCTGGGCACCGCGCGGCCGCGCATCCCGCGGTGGTGGATGTTTAGCGTCACCACTGAGAGCCCCGTGGCGAAGCTCACGAGGGAGATGGTCACACCGTAGTAAAGGCCTGGATAATAGAGGCAATTAAATTAAGTACGGTATCTGAATTAAATTGACATGTCAGAGTCTATCCGATTTATCAACAATAATGCCCTCACAGTAAAGTCGTGGATATTAGCCAAAGTTTGAGCCAGTCTCTAAATTAAATTAACTGTTGTAGTGAATCGAATTTTATCAACTATGATGACATTAGATTACAGGCCATTATAGTGACAAGTGTTAGTGCAAATTAGTTAATTACGCTTACAGACGATAAATAATGAGAGGTTATAACCTAAAAAGTCGTGTAATACTGAAATATAATAATATTATATAAAAAGGTCTGGCAAGCAGAGTAACCGATAATATAGCTCGCATTAAAACAATTAGATAAAACAACACTACGAGCTATAATCACTCCCGTAGTACAAGCTTTAAGTCAAGCACCAAGCTCACCAATAAGCGGGAGTTTTTCAGATGTGGGGGGCATGGATTCCCCGATGACCATAAGAAACACGGTCATGGAGAGGAGGGTGGTGATGCCCAGTGTAACTTTCTCGCCCGAGTCGCTGGGCATGTAGAAGCTTAGGAGCGCAATGCCCGTGATGAGTACACACGGCAAGATCAAGTTGAACACTGCAAGATATAAATGGTGAGATGAGAATTTAGCTCAGAGATGCAGATGCATTAGTGTTATTTGGGGGTTCAGGTGTAATGCACTCATGGAGGTAATATGTGTATTACTAATGAGAAAACACTCGCGTTACCCATGATTTTCAATAGAATGTTGTCGTGGAATCTGTTGATATTTAGGATCCAAAAATTTACTTATACCTAATCCTAAACAAAGACTCAATTAATATTTATTTAACATTTTTAATATTAACATATAACATTAGTTTGATAAACGCTGGTTATTAAAAAGATAATGAAACCCGCTAGGTAAGTATTATTGCCAAACATTTATTACACCCAGAGATTTTTCTCAGTGCTTTCTTAACAACCCTATGGGTTGTTTTTGCGAAATCGTGTATCTTGCTATTTCGCATTATTTTGCTTGTCAGGTTAAAACAGCTAGCAATACAAGCCTATAAATTTGTTCTTATACTACTAAAAGATCCACGTTATGATGAAAATTCGGAAGTGATATGTTTATTACTTAAAAAGGTATGAGGGAAGTCCTATAAAATTAATTTTATAGGACTATAACTTCAACTATAACCGATACTTCAACTATAACCGTTAACTGCTGCAAATGAACTTCTATCTCCACCCAACTCGAGCAATTTGGTAATTTTACACCTGCAGATAGAGGCTAGCTGTTGCAATTTTCCAGTAATGTGGGATTAGTCGTTTCAGAATTAGTTTGAACGGCTAAAATTTATTTTCTTACTGCAGATCAACCCGAAATAATTTATTACTATGAATAATAGATCCCACTCGTAGAATTGCTTTAACCCGATAGGAAAGAAATATAAAATGGTATCAAAACGTAGGCACAAGTAAATAACGGTTTAAAAATACCCATATTTATCTCATATATCATGGTTACACAGCACGACTAAGCAAATTCATACCGTAAAAGAGTGGCCTCCGCCTGAGCACGAGAGTGTAGGTGATGTCAGGATACGGAGCGTCACAACAGGAGTAGTAGACCACATGTCGCTCCATGGACAGCTCTATCAGGTCCCACTCTCCGTTTGTAACGTAGTTAGTCAGGTCAGCTTCTGACGCGTGAGCACTTAGGTTCACCTGCATACATATATGAACCGCTAAATACATGGACAGTGAATAAAATTGCGAAGACAACCCGTAAATAACATCGCACCAGGTGACAGCGAATAAAATGTTAAATTCCACTTAAAAATAAAACAATTGTATTTAGAATTAAAATTTTCATTTGCAACTAAGAAAATTAATAACAATAGCCTTTAAAATATTTTGATAAGCCTCCAAATAATAATTTTAATATAAAAGACATTTGACCGTAACGGGTCCAATTAATAATTACGCTTTAATTGTACAGCAGGAAATTATAGTGGTTCTCATAGGTGTAAAAATGAGATGCACGAGGTAGAAGTTATGAGATTATTTAAGGACAATCGAAAGCTTAGATGCTTGCAAAGTGGGTTTGATTTTCCTGGAGACAAGAACGTGAGAAACACAATCATTCTTAAGTTATCTATTGAAGTTTTGCAATGCATAATGAGTCTAGCGCAACTTAAAGTTGTGATGATGGCCATACCATGTAATTATTACTTTTTATTCGAATCTGTATTTAACTTTACTACTCTGAAGTTTCCTTAGCTCATTTTAATTTTTTTAATTTGTATTAAAATCATTTTTCTCATAATTAATAGTGATACATATGAACTAAAACAATAGTACTGGCGAGAAGGACGTATCGTTAGGTGGCATATTAGCTACAGCAGTTAGCTGAAGAAGGAAGTCTAGTGTACACTGTCCTATGTGTAAAAGCATCTGGGTTTACGGTCGCGAATCACCAGTGTCATGTTTTTATCCTCCATGAGACGCGTACTCCCAAAAATTTACGATCACGAACGGCTTTTGTGTAGTGGTTGCCACGTGTAAACTGCGGCAGCGTGTGCGCCAGGACAAAGTAAGTGAAATAGGCCTATTGCAACAATATTTATAATTTATAAGAAACGAAACAATCATTGCAAAATGCAATTGAAAAGCTCTAGTCATACTGACTTGAATGACCATCAAACATCGTCCGTTCAGGGCACATTCACATGAATGTTGGAAAATAATAAACTTGTGAATCGAATTTTCAATACTTTTCACAATATATATGCTTCAAGTGCAGCGTGCATCAGAATGTCGGATCAGTACAAATAAAATAAATGTAGGGAAAGCTTAAGGAAGAATTTTCAAACAAAACTAAACGAATATCCCTTAACGTAAAGAAAAACAAAACGTTTTCGTGACTTTTTTGTGAGAGCTGTGTTCAAGAGAAGCTAAATTGGATAAAAAATCTTCCTACGTTACTCTACCAATATCTACGTGTACATACACACTTTTACAGCATAACGTATTCAGTCAGGAGCAAAAATTTAGTAAAATAGGAAGGTGAAGTGAAAAAACGACACTCAGCAGCAGGCGGGTTAGTAAAACGAGCGAATTTGCATGATTTTGACAGTCACTGTCGTTAAGGTAAAGAAATTACCAGAAAAACCCGAGACGCGGGCAACAAGTAAACTCTCATGAAGTCCGCTAAATGCAAAGAAGATGCTCCGAGAAACAGGCTGGTGTAGGAATGCAGGTATAAGTGATGAGAATGAAGGTGAGTGGCAATAAATAAGTGAAAACATGAATAATATCGTCGGATTTAAATGTTTAAATGCAAAATGAGAATAAAAAATATGACTCGCTAAACAACTTTGATGTGAACGAATATTTGCAACAAGCACTACAAACAATTTTAATGATTGTTAAGCATATTAATAATGATGATTATGAAGCCTTGAAATCCCTCGTCGCTCTCATAAGAAAACCACTTCACTCAGGCAGAAGAAAATAACATCCCCATTATAAAAAATAATGATTCGTGAAATTAGATTACATTTACGCATAACAAAATCAACTAAAAAATTCAATTCTTAACGATTTTTCCAGCACGACATTTTAGACGCGCTTTGATTACGAAGAACTCGTGCCGCCGTAGAACGAGCGCCAACTGCCGTGGACTCTATATAACCTATAATATCTACCTGAACCTGCGCATTACAGAATATTTTCATCCATCACCAATGCAAATGACTTCATATAGCTCGCCTGAAACGTCTCAAACCTTTGTGCTTAAAACCAGTGCGCGTACTTGAAACTATGTTAAGTCAGCACCTCTATTTATTATAACTTCGCGGTGTTAAAGGTATATATAAAAACATTTTTTCGTATACATAAGTCCATGCAGATATCAATTTTCAGACCTCGGTCACGTCCGGATGATATTGGCAGTATCCCGAAGCGATAGGTATTTCGGACGCGCGAATTACCAGCCTTTAAATGGACTTCAAAGACATAATTTAAAATGGAATAAATCACCTGGAAGCCATCGTAGGTCCACGAGGCGAACTTCATGTGGCAGCGCTGCTCGTCGAAGGGAAAGAACTCGACGTTGATGGCACAAGAGCTCTTGAAGATTGCAGACGAGAGCCATGTCACGTTGCCGTCGTAGGAGACGATGATGTTGGTGCTCAGTACAGCTGTGTTGTAGTGACTGTCAGCGCTGCCAATTACAAAAATATAACTCAGTACTCACTGCAGTGAGTGACAGAGAGCGCATTTTCTCGTCGACGAAATCGTGAAGTCACGGACGGACAGACGGACGGACGGACGGACGGACGGACGGACAGACGGACATGGCGAGCACAATAGTGCATTTTTTCATAAATGAGAAAATGCGCTAAAAATAGTTTGATTCTACGGAAGGACGAATTTAATTACAGTAATTTTGGTTTATGTCAGAGTTTTTTAGTGAAATCGAAGCATTATTTTTTAAATTCTAATTAAAAAATTATCCATGTCTTATCACTATCCAACGAGCTTATGGTTCGTCAAAAAAAGAGCATATAAACTTACAGTTAGTTCTATACATTTGTAATCGTATAAATTAAGTAACAATCAATTTGGACCAATGATTCCTGATTTCTGCCGTGAAAAATTTTCTACATAGTATAATACATTATATCAATAAGAATGAACAATACCGTAACTAATCTATATTTTGCTTTTATATGTTGTGAAGCTATACTAACTTGTTGTAGAGTATGACGTCAGGTCGCCATAGCCGCGCAGCAGGCAGTCTAATAACTTTAATGTTACCGAACTCGCTAGGGTCCCAAGTGACGCTGTTGTCGACCCACAACTGTACATTAAGAAGGGACAATTCAATGACTTATACAAGAGTGCGAAGAAAACATGAAATAGTCAGGGAATATATTAAAAAAAAACTTCCAAATGCTCGATGTAAGGTCCAATCTATTCCACCCAGTATCCTATAATGCAAATAAAATTTTCCTATCCCTTACTCTTATATTGACTTCAAAATTAGTGGCGTGGTTTAAGTTTTTAAATTAATCTGAATTCGAATTTATTTTCAGGCTTAGAACTCCGATTCGTGATTTATCTTGAATAGTGTGGCGTGACATTCCATACTAAATCGAAATGAGGCCTTGAATCAGCTCCTGTCTGAACCAATGCTCAATGTGTGGATGTTAACAAAAAGACTAAATATTTATAGATGTAAATTAATGCATTATTTCCCTCAAAGTTATAACTATCATAAATAAATATACGGTCAGTCGGTGATCATTATAGCTCCGTACTCCACGCGGTTGACTATATCGTTAAACTCACATTCCGTAAAATGTTCAGTATGAGTTACGACCAAGTGATCACACAAGTAGGATGCAATTAACCAATCAAGCTGCTCGAAGTCGTCACAAACTCGTAAAGGAAATCGCGGACGATAAATGCGACGAAATTGCCAACTGGCATCGGTTCGGTGAACATTCAATAGCGTTCGCCGGACTGGAAGCTTTAGATGTTGTGGTGGTGGTGGTGGTGGTGGTGGTGGTGATGATGATGACGAGATTTTAGTGAGCGATGGTGGTGACGAATATGGTGAAAATGATGAGACGTGAGAAGAAATGGCGGTGGAGAATATAGTAATGGTGGCGACTATGGTAATGGTGGCAACTATGGTAATGGTGGCGACTATGGTAATGGTGGCGACTATGGTAATGATGGCTAAAAAACTTGAATGTAGTGATGGTGGTAATCAAATAAATTTTCGATTCTAAAGAAAATGTTTTAAAGTAAACGTCGTGCAAGTTCGTGTTCCTAAAGAAAAAAAAACTCTGATACATGTGAAAACTAAGACATGAAGAACGTAATGAAAATTACGATAAACTCCGTTCTGATCAGCCATGAACATTGAGTAGAGTAGACGACAAGTGACAAGGTGGAGGGAATGAAACAACTATTTCTTTTCTAGTGAAGTGAACCGAAAAAATAGTTACGGCGGTGGCAAAACGTTTTAATGCACACATATGAAATTTGGCGTTCATTGATACCAGTTTTCCATAAGTGTCATGATATCACAATAATGAAGTAAATTAATGCATCTATCCAGACATAAGAGAATGTAAGATTAATTTACGTGAGATATAAACAGCCAATTAAGTGCCTTATACTTAATAAGAATTAGGAGATCCCAAGTTTGTGAGTCATATAAGTAGCCGTAAATAACAAACATAACAAATAATAAATCAGCGGCAAAATGACAATCGAAGACTGCCAAACTCGTAATAATAACGACTACCGTCTGAATGTTATTGATATAAGTCACTTACCGAATGAAAAATATAATTCTTTACCTGGTTAAGCCAACAGTTTGTGGTTAAGATCTGATTCCTCTCGTCCTGTAAGAAAAAAACATTTCCTGTTAATTAAAACGGGTCTGTTAAAATATTATCAGTTGTGACGATAATATTCAAACCTTGTCTGTTGATGGCCTCGTCCGACTGGCTTTGTCAAACGTAGCCAGTTGAAGTATCTGTTCAAAGATTCGAGTAACTATTGATGTGCATTTTTCATAAAGATAAACCAGCAATATAGGAAATAAAACATTACTTGTAGGATTCCAGTTCAGAAATCATCATTTAAGCTATTATGAAACTGGAAGCTAACATATTTGAATAATTTACTATATACAGACAGGGGTTGGACAAAATAAGGGAAACCCCGGACTTTTTGATATCGTAATTTTTTAAAATGTTATAAACAATGAAAACGTGACATATTTTAATGAGTTATTGTTAATTGGTGCTGATAACTGATATTTTATCCATGCACAGATATTTTTTGTAATTTTTTTTTGTCTATAACCTAACCTATAGCCTATAAATGGCAATCCTCTATGACTTTCAGAGAAGCCAAATTGTTGGTGCCCGTATGTCAGGTGCTAGTGTGACAGAAACTTCCCGAATGCTTCACGTTTCTAGAGGTACTAATGACAGCTTTTCAGAGAAGGAAAAACGTCCTCAGCAAAGCACAGGTCTGGTCAAAAGTCGAAGTTGTCTGAGAGAGACCGTCGGTACCTAAATCGAGTTGTGATGAACAATCAAGGGACCACGGTTGTTAAAATTACAGCAGACCTCAGTTGCAGCAGACCGCCAGGAGCTGCACAGATCTGGATTCTATGAAAGAGCTGCAATTAGAATACATCTGGTTCCATATACAAATGCTTCAAAGCTTTTAGGGTGGTGTAAAAACCTCCAAAATGGGTCGCTCGAGCAGTGAAAAATTGTGATTTTCACTGACGAATCATCGTTTGCGTTATTTCCATCTTCTGGCCGAGTTTACGTTCGGAGACAGCCAAAATAGTAATGTAATTACGACTGCCTCCTCCCAACCGTAAAACATGGCGGGGGATCTGCGATGCTATTTCTTCTGGGGTGCTACTTCTTGGAAATCCGGCGGACCAATGATTTCTCTTAATGGAAGAGTCAACAGCCATGACTATTTAGGAATTTTGGAGGACCGAGTTCATTCAATGATTCAAGCACTAGCTGTTTGCGGAAAGGGAACGCCATCTTTAAGGATGATAAAGCCCCGATCTATACGTTGGAATTGTTAAAAAAAAGGCACGAGGGACATTCTAATGAAGCTGAGCATCTCGTTTGGCCACCACAATCACCAACCTGAATATTATATATATCGAGCATAAATGGTCGATTTTAGAGATGTTGACGTCAAATGTATTAATTAAACGATTTTAAAAGTTTATTCAATTGAATTCATTCTGATATTTTCTAATTTTTCATCATTTCAATAAAAATAATATCACGGGAAAACAGTTAATTGTCTGTCAGGATGTCGCTCATCTCAGCATTCAAGATTTTTTCAATGTAACTTGGATAACTTCATGATTCAAACGACGCATCCGCACAGAGGTCTTCTTTAGAGTTTCCTTGCTGGTACGCTGAAGATTTTAGCGGCAATTGCCGCCAGCCTCGCTCCATATCACTGTATTTTTGCGTCGGCCAACATTTATTTGAGGGAAACTCGGCAAGGGTCGCTCGAGACGATGGAACTGGCACAGCGAGACCCAAACAATTAAAACTGCACAATTTATGGCGCCGGGCTTCGAAGAGCGCCCTCGCCGCAACACCGCCGTTTCTGCACGAAACATTTCGGGCAACTTAACCGATGTTTCCGCAGCAACGAATGAACTTGGCGTCTGCTGCCTGATACCACTCTAACCTCTCTCTCCCTACCACTCAATTTTGAACATCAAGATTCACATTTTTTGCACCAGCGGGATATTAGAGCAATGCAAAAAAAAAAGCTTGAAACTGATTAAAAGAATTTAGCAGTTGAGCAAAATCTTGCGACTGTCAAGCCAAAAAGTACAACTGATCAGTAAAATTTTACCGTTTACGGGCAGGGTCGCACTTTCAACAAGCAAAAGCCCACAGTTCTGTCGAACAGAGCATACAGATCAAGTCGGGATTTCACTGCGGCGTAGGAATGATGGTGATGCCAGGACCAAAGCAGTACACCCGGCAAGCAAGCGAAGATCACATTGAAGCTTTAGTTTTACGCTGCGCTGTTTTACGAAGAAGTGCAAGTCCTATAGGACTCTGTTGGACACGCATGCCATGACCGGGATTCAGATTCACTGCGCCACGGCAGTGCCACCAATAGTACATCACGTCACACAATGTATGCTTCGTAATCTTACAACATGTTATACAATAGTACAGTCTGTATTAAAGCGATCCAAATCATATTACAGTACAGTTTATGACTAAATTTAGGAACGACTTCATGTCAGACATTGAATTGAAAATAATGAATCGTAATTCCACCCACGTATTTAATGACGGACTCAAATAAAAAAGTTTTTTCGAAAAAAAATCAGGCTGAAACTTAAAAATATGACCACTCTATGACATTAAAAGTTAAATAATATTGATAAAATATTTATTGCCATAAAATATCTATCACCTGTGCAATGGCTTCAGCGGAAGCACAATGGTAGCAAATTAACCCGTTAGTGTATGATTTCCAATATTTATTCATCAAATTTGTGCGAATGAACATGTATTGTAAAGTGGCGAAGCAAATCAAAACTTCATTCGGCACACGAGAAGAAAAAATATCAAATTCTTATTTTTCTTCAACACAATGAAAAGTCGCACCGCCTCCCACCTTGGGCCATAGAACAGAGAGTAAAGTATAGATCGAGAGGAATTCGATCACGGGTCGACCGCGAATGTCAAGGAAAACGAAATATCTTGAATAATAATTCAATACACTAGAAGCAGGAGGGATTTAGCATGTTAGTTTAAATGCATTTTGAAATAATGAAACGAGCTCGAAAAAAAAAACAAATATTTATCGCCACAAAGGCTGCACGTTTCACTTGAATCAGAAAAACTTGATGTAGAAAAACTTGATCAGATGATGTAGGCAATGATGATAAACCACATTTCGTAGCACGCACGAGCATAGAAATCCAATCAAGGATTTGAGAGGCAGGAGGCAAAAGTACGTAAAGTTGCGATAAAGTTCATGCACTTCATGATGAAGAGTGTCTGTGTTCATGCACTTCAGCTTCATGATGAAGAGTGTCTGTGGAACTGGCTAAGTTCAGGTCACCATCTTGACTTTATGAGACAAGAAAAGAAATACAGAGAGAGCCTAGCGCGGCAACTTGCAGTATCCCGGGATCACGGCGATCACCGGCAGCCAGTAGACGTCTAGGATCCAAAGGATCTTTGCGAGTTAATTGGCCTCCAGCCACACAAGATAACAAAGTGGGAGCTTATATGAACGACAGTTTATTTAGTCACGGCTTGCTAGGTTGTAGATTTTAGATGGTATTTATCGGTCGACGAATCTGTTTCATCCATGACGCCCAAAAAAAAATTTAAAGTGGATTATTGACATATTGACGAGGACTCAACCGACCCTGCTGCCAGAGATTAGGACCTATATGTAGATCAGCTATGTAATTATTTTGCTGAATCCCCAAGAGAATTACACAATTTTCAACAGGTATCGTTGAATCGACCGAATGTGAACTGTTTTTGCGCATCGCTTAATCCACCACATCACGCGTAGCAAATCAAAGTTCAACTCGATGCACTCGAAGGATCAGTGATGGAGAAAAATCAGAGTCAAAGACCGACCGGATATCGGTAGAGTGTCTTTTCCTGCAGAGAGTATCGTGTGGATGGCTTCATCCATCAAGGTCTGAAGAGCAATCCAGCAAATGACTGGCACTCCAACTTACAATGGCTTTAGTTGAAAACCAGAAATCCGGAACTTTTAAATCTAAGAAGAGCTTTGTCATCCTGAGCTGCGGATATGAGGTTAGAAAGCCTCTACAATGGCGTATAAATAAAACGGCTGTCAAAGCCGCGTCAAATGAGGCATTTTCCGGAGGCCAATGGTCGAAACTTTTTATTCAAATTGATTCAGGACAACGAATATTGGTAGTTATTATTCACTAAGTTAAACATATCCATGCTAAAATATTAATAACTAAAGAATGCGTAACCAATACATAGGCAATGATTTATAGAGCAGGAAAGCACTTCATAATGATTTATAAAGCAGGGAAACATTCAGATACGATAAAAATAACTGTGGAATTCACAAGAAAAGCATGAAAAATCATAAGCAATCACAAATAGCAGCCCTCTGGCTGGGGCACGGTGCTCGACAATCATCACCAATGGAAACTTGGTGACCTCTAAAAAATGCTCCCGCCGTCGTGAAGAAAAAAATAAATAGAAAAGACGATTGTCAGACAATTGTCTATCAATCGAAAAGACAATTGAAAATTAAGAAGATTGTTAATTAATGGTAGTTGAAACAGAGGAAAAATAAAATGACAGCATAAACTTAGTATACCAAATAAAATTAAATACTAACACAAGGAGAACAAACACATACGTTGAATGAATAAAAAAAAAGTCTCTGAAGTCACGCTACAAAATTCTGGTGGCATTTTTTATTCATAACGATCCGTTATGTCCGTAAAAACGGCAGGTTAACTTCAAGTCCAAAATAGGGAACAAGAATCTGGCAGTTATTTAAGCAAGGCTAGGATCGAGCCTTATCTATCCGAGTCGTTACTAATACCGTGACTTATTGACCTCACCCTGCTGCCTGCTCTGCAGTGCTGAAAAAATCAGAGGCAATTTTTACAATTATTTTTGCTCATCATGCATATAAAACACAATTTGAAAAAAATAAAGGCATAAAGTACAAAATGGCGGCTTCTGTAAGGTCCGACTTGAATTACCAAGGTGGAACAAGGCTTATTCATGTCTCGTTGCTATTAGTAAAGTTATTGTGTTGAGCTCAAACATATGTCCTCCAGCACTATTAAATAAAATAAAAAGTG